TCAACTATATATGGTTGTGTATAATTTGGTCATTTCTTCTAATCTGCGTATTCTAAGCATTTTAAAATCTGCCATTAAAAGGCGTTGAAAAAAATACACGTTTTATTTCTTGTCGTGCAAATTACCTCTTAAAGTTTAAAAACAGCATCGATTGGTCCGGATTTATTTCTTTGTCGGATATTCAAAAACTGAATTCACAGATATTTTGGTTTAATTTCGAAAGCAAGCGAACTAATTTTTAATTGCAGCGTTGTCAAATCAACAATGAATAGTTCATAAAAAAGAATCAAAATCACCATGCATGCAAATAAATGCACTTGATGCCTGATCGCGAGGGAAACAGTTAACGATGATGTTCCCTCGGCGGAATTCAATACAAATTCAAGGACGGCCACTCGATCACTAACCTGCCAATCACAATTGTAATAAAAGCGAAGTCGACCGATCAGAGGACGCAGAAATCACTATATACATGAACACTTTACCGTCAGAAAATTTTAAAAAAGATCCACTGGTCTAATTTTCATTTCAGTTGATATGGGGGCGCTACCCGCGGGACTGTTTGGATCTAATTTTCCCCAATGGATATCGGCCCAGGTTTCCTTTCGACAATGCGGATAAATTCCGTTGAGATTCGACCAAACAGCACAAGCACTACTGTTGCCATACCACCAGCCTCCGCCTCTTTTTTGAGCACAATGGGCAGGATCTCTATCCCACGTACCAAAAATGAGATCTTTGTGAGGATTGAGGGAGTCAGAGGAAACAGTTGAATCTGCTTAAAAATAATAATAATAATAAATACTAAAATTCCATAATATTAGGATCAAGATAACACCTCAAACTCGATAGCTACGAATCGACGAAGCAGGGCAGATATCCAAATACAAAAACACCTGGCAAAATAATAAATACTCAAATTTTATGATTTTGCTAAAGCCAAGGTCAATGAATTTTCTATCTCAAGCAGCTTAAGAAAACTATCCAAGGAGGAGCGCCGACTCAACTTGGTATGGGCAGAATTAACAGCAAAACACAGTCAAACGGGCATACACTAGAAGGAACCATTCTTTGCAGGTTACGTGGAGTTGGGAGAAGGGATTGAATTAAAAACCAGTTTTTCATAGGATTCAAGTTGTCACTAACTTGTTAATTTGCTAAATTTGCTAAGTTTAAAATGGACATACATCAGTTTAAGCAGCCTCTCTGAAGAAACACATTTTAAATGGTTTTAGCAAAACAGCTCTTAAGCTTTGGTGTGAATGGGGCAGTAGACGTCGATAGGGAAGTAACACATAAAAATCGAACGATGAATGTTTAAAAAGACGGCTTACTTACTCGTCATATTGCCAATGTACAGGCGGTAGTCAGCCGTAGCATTCCCAATCCCAAACCATTCATACTCAGCGTGAACAGTTTGGCGCGTAGTTACTCCCAGATCTATTCGAAGCATGTTCTTTGTTTTGTTTTGTGTCAGACGGTTTATCTTGTCCAGTCCGAGCCAAAATTCACCGACCAAGTTACCGAAGCCATATTTGTAGTTATTCCAGGTGCGGTTAAAATCAACGGAGCCATCCATTCTCTTCTGAAAGACTGTCCATCCCCCACCGGAAGTAGTTTGGTCACAATAGACATTAAAGGCGCCTGAGCCATCTGGGTCGATTGTGTAAACACCGCTGATCCTTTGACCGGAATAGTAGAGCTCAACACAGTTCTTAGCTGTTGATAAAATACAAGGGAATAACAGTTTGTGTTCTCTTGAAAAATAATAATAAACATATAAATTAATAGATTTTAATAAAGGTAGTAACACACATGAACGAAGAGGAATCGTGCTTACATTTCGCCAATGTTTTGTTCTCCTGAACTTGAGTGACGTCCTTCGTTATTTTTTCTAAACAGAATGCAGTGTTCTTTTGGCAATCTATTGGGAATGCCCGCGTTGATGGTAGAATTTGATAAGTCACAGAGAGTGCCAGAAAAAGTAGAGCAGAACCTGAAGGATAGAAATCTTATTATATGATGTGAGTTCACTGCTTAGCGCCGATCGAGGATTAGTAAGGGGGGTCGGATTAATATTCGCTGAATAAATAAAGGGGTAAATAGATAGCATGCTCCTCAGAAATTGTTGAAATTTAGATGGGTCAGAAAGGTGATTTTTGGCGTTTTAAAAGATAACTGTCAAAAACTGCACTTTCTTGAAAAGTTTTTCATGGATGATAGAAGATGAAGGTAAAAGATGATAGAAAAAGGGAGATGAAGATGGTTGAAGGTGAATGACGGTAGATGAGGGTAGAATAAGGTAAGTGCACGGATATTAGGGTAGATAAGGGTAGATGATGGTAGATAAAGTTAAATAAATGCAAAGTCTTGTACATTCAGGAAAATGAAATTAGATGAAGGTGCTTGAAGGTAGAATAGGGCCAATGAAGGTAAATGATGGCATATTTAGGAGATGAAAGTAAATGAAGGAAGTTGAGGGTTAATTCATTCGAAGTTA